TTTATTAAGCGTGCTCAGTATCTGAGTTAAGTGTCTAATTTAAAATGCAGTTTACAAATTATACCTTAGAAACAAAAACAGATTAATATTTTCCTTCTCTAGTAAAAAGTATTAAATTGAATTTGTGCGCATCTGATACATAAATATATTCAACTCTTTTTAGATATAATGTTAATATTTATAAGAAAGGTTTCTTTTACAAACTGAGAAATATAAATAACATTACTCAAAATGTGTAATTTATATATACAAATATCCTCCCTCTTTGTCTGTATAGCTATCTTTCTATCTTCCTTTAAATATGCGTATATATATATATAAATTAAAAGCATTTAGAGACAGAGAAATACACATATGGCGTGCAAGGTAAATACATATGTATGTACAAATATAGAATCATGCGTATCATGCTACAGAGAGAAATGCACATATGATGCATATTAAGTACATATGACCTCCTATATGCATATATATATGAAACTGATTTCACTTAATATACTTTCGAGTAGCTTAATTGTACAGATACATGATAATTTTCTACGAGGCAAGCAAACCTAATTGTATGATGTTTCTATTTTTGTCGACATGTGAGCTTTAAATATGAGCCGTTTAACCTTAGGAAATCCTGTGCTAAAGAATTCTTCTTAAGTCAGCTCAGAAAAATCAAATAACGAGCTTAAACTAAACTAAACTAAATCCTAACGTTTTTCATTATTCTGCAAAATATTTTTCCAATTTTTTTTAGAGTTATGCCCTACAGAAGTGTGGACTCTCTGGACATTGTTAACTATAGTGGTGCTGGATCCCCTGGACACGTTGTTATACTTTTCTTCACAGTTTTTAACGGGTGTAACATAAATAGGAACTAATTTCCTTTTTCCTCCATTTCCTATATTTCTCCATTTGGATAGCCTTCAAATGTTTTTCCAGACTCCAACCTACATTAGTAATTAATCCTCAGCAGTCATGTATTCACTTAAGTGCAAGAAGTGTTGCAACAGTGCTTTATTTCGATATATCAAGAGATGCCCAAAACATTAGCTTACATATTAGCGAGGTGATTTTGTCCAAGGTTCCGTTGTTGGAGACTGGAAGGCAAAGCCTGACGTTTCGTGACATGTCCATACCACTGTATAGGATGACCGTATCATTGTAAGGCTATTTTACAGATATCAGAAGTTTTATGCAATTTTTTTTAATTCTTTGCACCGTCATTGAGAATAAAATCCGGATTTCAGCTTACCGAACTGATATACTGACTAAAACGCCATAAAAATACTTAGCAGGAATGTTTTCTAATTTTTAATTTCCACCTACAGCAAAAGAAAAAAAATAACGAGAGAGAGAGGACTCCCAGTCGACCATTCAACATGTCCAATAATTATCGTCCTTCACCTTTAGTTCAGATGCCGGTATACATTGAAAATTTCTTAAAGTTTATAATGGCTTGGCTGCGAACTGAATTCAGGTCTTCCAATTATCAGACTAATATGTTGACCGTTAAATTACAAAAGCTTGTGGGAAGAAACATTTCATTCCTTAATTTTTTTTTCCCGAAGGACACTCTGAAAGAGCTTACGCCTACGAAGAGTAATTGTTCTTCGAACAGTTTGTGTTTTAGCAAGTGTATTTTGTACCAATTTAACCAGTATTATTATTGAATCCTTTGCTTGTTAAATAATACTGTGCTTTAAAAAATGCAAAAACTCATATTTATCATTTACTACTTCATACTCGCTATCGGTTAGTATTCCCAAAAACGGGCTTGAAAACCCAGAGATATAAAAACAATTTAAAAGTTCTCGCGATAAATTGTTTCCATAGATCTGGCTTTTCCAGGCTATCATACTTTTATTTTGCCATCCGCTTACTGGAAGCAAAACCTGTTTGAGATATACTTAAATATATTTATTCCTTTAAGTAATCGTTTCTTTGGTGGTCATGAATATGGATAGAATATGTTGTTATGGTCTCTCTACCAATGACAGAGTACTAAATTTGTAAAGGTTATTAGAGTTTTCTGAATAAGAGGCATGAAAATGGCCAGTATACCTTCGTCGGGTTTCGAATTACTGATTGAAAGTGCTATCCCTGGAAATCATGTGCGGTAATTGCAGTAATTACAAAGCAACCTAATATTTTACGCTTAGTATCAATATTTGTTTTATTTCTGATATCCAGGGGGGGAAAATACACTCCAAACTAATATTTTAGAAACTGAAAACTTCTATGCATTATATAAAATGTAATATAAAATTATGACTTGTATTTAATAATAGTAAACATTGTATTAAAGTGACATTTTCATTTAAAAAAAAAACAAATTTCTTCATTTTTTTAATAAAAAAATACATAAAAGTGCAACATTCAACTTTTTTATTGCATAACGATCTTTTTTATCTTCTTTTTTTATTGTAAGTGCAAAATTCAAGTCTGATCTTTAGGTTAAAGCCGAATACCTATTATACGTTTCCTTTAGTGAGAAGACAATCGGAAACGTAGTAATTAACATTAAAGCTAGAATCTTTCAAAAAAACACTTCGTAAAAGAATTGTAATATTAAAAAGGATTTTAGCATTTTTTCCGCTAAAATGTAAATAATGAATGATTGCCTCCCTAATTCTAATAAAGAATAGCTAACAGCTAGTCGTATACAGAAGGGACTTTAAAATTAAATATGGTTTTGAAATCAGATACAGTGTCTAAATTCATTACCGTAATGAATATATTTCAATATAAATGGAAACATTTGATCACTTTAACATATAAATAAAGAAAACCTAATTAAAATTAAAAGAATTCATATTTTGAGTTTTCGGTTAAAATTACAGTAATGACTTACAGTTAAAAACTAATAGAAAATTATTGAAATTTTTGTAAAACATTGAAATACCACATGCGTCTACTTCAAAAATAGTATGAATGCATTTAGATCTCTTTTCCCTGAAAACTTCAATTATAAAAATTATTGCAGTAACTTGAACAAACCTATGCTTCACATATTTTAAGAAAAGCATGGACTGTTCATCAAATCAAAGAATTATTTTACATCAAAATTACCTAATAAATGATATTATGAATACATTTTATTGCTAGCATTAACTGTGTAAAATTAACCTAAAAATTATCAATCTTATAGTATAATTATCTTACAATATAATTTATCTAACAAATAATTATAATAACAATATTTACAAAAATATTCTTTCTGATAATTATAGGAATTTTTAAATTAAATTTATTTAATTAAGGTAAACATTATTAAGAATTACATACGTTATTTTAAATTTTATTACATTAGTTAGAGTTATATTCCTGCATTCGAAAGAAAAGTTGAACATCTAATAGCCAGGAAATGGTCCTAATTCTCAGAATTGACAACTTGCAAGGAGGCGTGTTGATTAATGCTGTGGTAGTTCAACGTAATCCAACGGATCGTAAAAAGGAACAATTAAACTATAAATGTTACTCATGTATATTTAAGATATTAATAGTACTTCTTTGATATGTAGGTGAAAATAAAGCACAATTAAACAAGAAGAAATAAATAAGGATTAAATCAAAGCAGAAAAATTCAAGTAAGTCTGTTTATGTAATTGTTAATAATATAATAAACGCATCTGATGTAAAGGTTTTTTCATATTCAAATGATAGCACAGAATAGCTTAGTATATTGTATCGTACAGTGGTCTGACTAAAGATTATCAGTGGAAATTGTATAAAATGGTACAAACTTATTATTTGTAATAAACCAAGAACGAAGTATGCGCATATATTTAATGCCATTCAAATATTCAAATAAAAGATTTTGCAAGCGATACAGGATACTGTTAAAATTCTTTTACATTATATCAAATTTAGGTTTTAAATTCCTGCATAAATAATAAGAATTTGATTAGTACTTATACTTTAACTAGATAAATTATACTATTATTTTTCACAGTTACTTTTGCTAATCAGTGTTAACTACAATGCAAACCGAAGCCTTAAACAAAGAATAATTACATTACGAAGATTACACTATGTACTGCACATTTTATTAAGATACGTACTTAAAGATCTATAAAAAAATTAGAGAAAATTATAGAAAATTTATACAAATTATAGAACATCTTTATCAAAATTTAGAGAGTACATTTTGTGAAAAATATTGAATTTTGGTTTTGTTCACTTCCACAAAACAACTCAATTAAGAATTTAATTAGATCTAAAGCAAATTAGCAGTAATTGAATTCTGAAGATAAGGTTAGGTAATTATTTTAGACAGAAATATTTTCCCTTAAAGATTTTTTTAAGTACTCACCATTGTAAAACTTATTATACTTCTAAAACACAATTTATCTCATATATATTGTATTATTTGTTATTTAACATAAATAACATTTTAATGCACTTCTAATTTCTTTTAGGTTTTTTTTAAGTTAAAATCACAAAAATTAAAAATTTAAAGTAACCACATTTAATTATTGTCATTTTAGAGATTAGTCTTGTAACTACGCAGTACAAATGAATTCAAAAAAAAATTGTATGTAAGATAGTTAATAAGTATTTCAAAATGAAATTTAAAAACACTTGTTTGTTCTAAATCATTGTATTTTTTCTCTTATAGGACATGACTGGATAAAATAATACCAAAACAAATTACCAAAGCTGCAAGTATAGCTGCAAAATTCGGTGAGTAAATCATTAGCTGTTGATATAAATTAAATTTCGTTTAAAACATTTATCACCTTCTTTATACCCAGCTTGAAACAAATTATCCCTTCTCACTTTTGATAATGATAACTACGTGTATAGATTTATTTTAAAAATTGTTTAATACGGTACATGAGAGCGTTATGAATTTATCTGAGTACTTTTTTATACGCTAAAACCTCTTGCTGAACTCAGTCTACCCGACAACTTATCCTGCGCATCTGTATATTGTAATAAACGGCTACTACAAAACTGATTGCTACATTTAAACTGAAGTAAGAGAAAGTCAAATTTTCGGTATTTACCTGCCAAAGAAATGAAGGAAAACTGCGAGGAGTACTATGAGTGCAAGTCACTTGTCCCACACCAAGGAAACTCCTAAAGAAATCTTTAGTTTCGAGAAGACTTCTCAGGGATCACTTAGTAGTCTCCTGATTGGAGGAACTTTTCAGCCAATCTTAAAAAAGAACACACTTCTCCCCCTAACCTAGGCATCGCGTAGCGTGCATGTATTCTTGGGAGATGGAAAATACCACTACAGAGCTATTCCTTTCTAGAAACATTTGGAAATAAACTCGCCCTTGCTCTAACGAGTTCAGTGGGTTACAATTCAGAAGCTTTTTGTTACCAGTTATTTTAACAATGCTCTATAGCAGAAATTAAGTACTTGATCCTATGCAAACGGTATGCGTTCATTTGTATACTGTAAACAGAAATTTCCAGTAATACTTTTCAACTCCGATTGAACCGAAATTAAAGAAAATTTACAAATTTCATAATCGCTTATTGTTGCTGAATAGTTTACTTTACATTGTTTCCGGTTGGAAGTATATATAACAAAAATTATGAAATTTTTTCTAGTTATTAGTTGATAAGATTTCAATTTAAAAAAAAAAAACTGAAATGTTTCCGATTTTAACGGCTTTCTGAAAGATTTTGTTAAGGTTTTTTACGCTCTCGCTGTCCTGGCAGTATATAAGAGTATTGTTACACTGTTTTTTTTTTTCGGGGGGGGGGTCTTTTTAGCTTTATTATTAAGCATCATTTTCTTTGCACTTGCGGAGCCTATGCAATTCAACAAAAAATTACAAAAAATTTTTAAAGCAGAATGCAGTATACATTTAGAACTCCCGATGCAGCTTAAGTGTTGGCAAACACGTTTTTTTTTTTTTTTTTTTTTTTTTTTCAGTCTTTTCTCAATTTATAATATTAATATTTAGTTTGCTTACTAAATTGGCTTTACAAAACTTCTTTTTTATCTTTTTATTATTTACGATTTGTGAGTTTATTTTGTTTATCAAGTATTACGTTCTTGCCGTTTCGCCATATAAAATTCGGTTCAACAGCAAAATCACAAAATATTTAAAAAACAGCATATCTTTAGAATTTTTTATAGATTGTCTCGCGCACAAGAGATAAAAATGTTTTATTCCGTGCAGTGTTGGCGTGAAATCATTGAGCCCGCTTTGAAATCATTGAGTGCCCTCTTTGAAATCATTAGCTCGCTTTGAAATCATTGTGTTGATCAAAAATTCGTTAAAGTTTTACAAAATTCAAATGAATAATAAAGCAAATTTGAAATTCAAAATTTTGGCTTCCAGGAACCCATGTTCAGGAGGAGGACTATGTTAATCAAAATTAGATGGCTGAAGGTACCGTCGATTTTTTCACTATGTGAAAAACATACATACATTCATGCAGATTCTTCATTATTTAATTTCTTTAAATATAGTACAGGGCGATAATCTTTGGTGGCAACAATTTGAAAAGTGATACATCGTTTTTAGGATTGAACGCAAAATGCCATTTCATGTAATATTCCATTTGAGACTAGCGTCCCTTTTGGGCTAATAACTGAGTGGAATATGTTTTTTATGTAAGTTATTTAATCACGATATAATGTAGACTACAGTCTGGACGTTTCCTGTGTCTTTTAAATTCATTACAAAAATCGCAGACATTAAAAATTCAAATAAAGTTCGTCTACCTTGTTCAGTGACACTCTAGAGATTATATTTATGAATGTGGAATAAAAATTAATTTATTAAGGAAAAAATTTGTTTGAGAGTGGATGGTAAAAATCCTTCCCTTTAAGAAATACCTGCCCAAAATAAACGATCTAAAAATCCTTTTGCATTATGCATCGGAAGTCTGATAATCTATAAACTGCTAGTGTTTTAGCGATGCTGTATTATCAAATATGCTGAATTATCGGACTAAAATTGTTTATTGTCCGCAAAAACTATTTTTTTATTTTTATTGAATGTATAAAGGAATGGATAGTTTGCATGCAATAATTACATAAATATAGTTAATGAGTAAAACTTGTTGGTAAATATACTCGTATTTATTCTATAATTAAATTATATTTACTCAGCTTTCCTTTATGTCGTTAATATTTCCAGTACATGAAGATCTTTTTAAATAATGTTCATGTGTCCCCTCCTTCAAATATTTCGTTCTTTTCTTTCCCTTTAAAAAAATCCTTAGAATATAAATATTCATTTTTTTTTTCAATATTTTATTTTCTAGTTAGCCCAAAGGGACAATTTTCCCAGAAGGGCTATTAATTTCGTTTTGGCATTTCGCGTTGGTTCACCATAAAATTCTGAATCACTTTCAAATTGTTCCCACCAAATATCACAGCCTTGCATTATATTGAAAGAAATTAAATAATGAAGAATCTGCATGAATATATGTATGTTTCTTGCATTGTAAAAAACCAATGGTACCTAGAGACATCAAATTTTAAATAACCTAGTCTTCTACCCGAACATGTGCGCCTGGAAGCCCAAATTTGGAATTTGTTTCATTATCTATTTCCTATTTTGTAAAACTTTAACGAGCTTTTGATTAACAAACTCAGCTATTTCGAAGCGTTCTATTCACATTAGTATCACGTGCATCTTCAAGCCAGTTCCTATATTTACATTTAAAATTTTGAATAATTCCTTAACCCGCAAGTTGCATCTATATTATCCAGCTTTTGTTGAATTATTAAAGTCACGTTATAGAGACATTAGAATTAATTGGAAGCAGGCAAGATGAAAAATATGCAACGCGTTCGTCGGGAATCGAACCGCGAACCTCTCAATTACGCGCTGAGCGTGCAGACCACTACACCACGAAGGCTCGCTAAGAAGGCGTGAGAAATACCTTATAATATGTTTCCGGTTTTTTTTTTTTCCCCTTATATTTTTATAAAGTTCCGAAAACATTTTAAATAAATAAAATAAAACAAGCAAATGCTATATAAAAGCTTTGTTTTGAATAAAAGACTAGAATTTCTGGGCCTTTCCGAATATTAGACACCAAAATGCTAATGGCAGAAATGTCTATGAAATGGTTTTGCTTATCGGGTGTGTCGACCATTACACGCCGGACTATCCAATGTTTACTAGAGCTATATTTTTCATGAACTAGTTGGTAATTGAATAAAAAACTAAAAACGTACGAATACTTGTGATGTTTGTCGAAACGTGAATGCAGTTATCTAAAAGACAAGCACCAAACATACTTTGATTTCGAAATATATATAGCTATAAAAGTTGCTATAATGGCATTCTTGCATGTAAATATAGTCAAGAAAAAAGGAAAACCTGAATTCGTTCGAGCTTAATGCACTTGAAAGCACATAGCTTCTTTTTTACCTAAAAATAATCACTGAAAACTAAATATGTACACCAAATAAATTTGATGGATATTCATGGAAAATCTGGTGATATGATAATAAATTAAAAGAAAAACAATAAAACATCCTTCGGCTAAATAATGTCAGTTTAAAACGGAAGATTTTAATTAGTATTTCCATTATTCACTAAACACGTTTTATGTCTGTAAAAACATAAAGTTGCTAATAACACACTTCACAAATGCTTACAGAACATACTACTATGAAACCTAAAAACTCCTTAATCTATAAGAACGTAAGAACTTTCATAATGGCATTAAATTTCACTTCATTCTGTTCACCTTGCACCATTAAAAAGGAATAGTTCAATATTTACCGTCTTACTGAGCCGATTGATGGAATTTAACTTGCATTTTCGAAAACGCGACTTAGAATGTATATTAGATTTACATATAGCAGTGATCTATCATAGGTAGTTTGACACAAAATCTGACTTTTTCTGAAATGGTATGCCAAATTTTTTTCCATTCTTTGTTTTGTGCACGGTGTCCATGTTAGATTTGAATTACTCTTTCTGGAGCTAGAAAACAATCTATAGCATATTATAACAATCTATAACATCTATATCATATTATTGCATTATATAAAATATTGTTTTTTTGATTCTAGAGAGCATTAGTGTTATTGCCATATCTTATTCTCTTTCGAATTATGTATTTGAATTGATTACTGAAAATGACTATTGTTTGCTCAACGCTAATAACACTTTCGTAGCTCATTTATAAAATTACTTTTTATTCTTTTAATCTTAAAAATTGTACCGTTTATTCAGTTATTTCTTTCTTGAGATTTTCGTGTTTGTTATGTATTGAAGGAAACAGATCTTGTTTAAAACAGAAAACGGTTTAAGCAAAAATGTTTCCTAATAAAGAAAAATTGCAGATTTTAGTCATTTAAGTATTTCGTAAATTTTCAGGAATCTTTTATCCTGCCTTTTTTCTATTTACAATAGAACAATTTACAGATGAACATTATTGTCTGAGTATCATCTTAATGCCAAATAAGCATTTAACTAAGTTTATTGTACTTTACAAAGATAATGTTGTCTCTGATTCATATTTTGGCATATTATCCAGGTGAAGAAATGGAAAATTTTCTTGCAAAGAATTTGTGTAAGGTGCTGAAGTCACAATTCGCATTTTTGCTTTCTTCATGAAGACACAACAAAAACGGACAGTTGTCTATAAACAAATTGTAAAAAAATTCTTCACATGTTTATTTAACATCATATCGTGGTTATCAGTAGATCTAACCATGCGATATCGGTCTAGCAACATGGAGAGATACCTTCATTGAGGATTTTAAGACAAAACTAGCTAGTAACGGAATATCTGGAAAAATCAGCAACAAAAATATGTATGCTGCGACACTGTTCAACTCCTGGGAAGTGAGCTGGTGAAGAACTATCAGAATTTCATAGCTCTGACAAATAACTATAGTTATTAATAGTTATCATAGCGCTCATATCATACAAATATACTTTATCGGAAAACTTACTCTTGGAATATCATTTATCTGTTTACGTTTATGCAACTCTGAAACACGTATATGGCATTCTACATAATAATAGATTCACATACTAATTTCTAATTTTTTCAGGCATATGGTATATATGTGAATAGATGTTACTCATATCTTGGGAATGTTTTCAAAGCATACACATATCAGTTGCCGGAGAAACTCTAGAACAGAGTTTTCCAAAAAGGTCGTTATTGAAACCCTGGGGG